AGCCCAATTCCCAGTGCGCTCGCTAAGGCGCACGTAAATTCCCATGTATTTCCCGACTTGCAAAAAAGGAAAAACAGATCCCAGAAGTCGAAAAAACCTTCATAAAAGAAACAAAAAAAATCAAAATGGGGTTTTCTGGGGATCGGTATGATACAAGCAAAAGAAGGGGTACGAAAGATGGCACGGCACATCCAGATATCGGGCAAGCCCTGGTTAATCCGGTTCATCCGGCCGGGTAAACAGGGTCGGATTAAACCGGATATTGAAAAATCCGGGCCTCGCGCAAAATATGCGCAGACCTTTTTTCGGAAATCAGGCTCCGGTAGGGGGTTTTGATTGACCGTTAGACCCCGTTCCCGAAACCCGAACTGGGGTAGGCCCTTCAAAATTCAAAAGGAAACAAGCCCGATCTGGACCGTCAATCGTTGATGATCAATGGCCCAGATCGGGCCTCGTTTTGAATTCGAAATGTGCGGGATCTAGACTCTGGAGACCACCCCGGCGCGCCTGCGAGACGACGGTCCCCGCCCTGACACCCCTCCCGTTGCCGCCTGTGGCCGCGCCAGCCAGCATCGTCGTCATGCTGCTTGTACGCACGTGCATCGCCGCCTCCACGGCCGTCATGCCATGACCTCTGCAGCGCTTCAGACGCACGTGCATCGCCGCCTCCTGGTAAGTTCTTCTTCTTCTTCTTCTTCTTCTTCTTCTTCTTCGTCTTCGTCTTCTTCTTCTTCTTCCGAGTCTTCGTTTACTTGTGTACTGCTCCACTAGCTCTGTGTGTGAGAGAGAGAGGGAGATAGAGAGTCGATGTCCACATAGAGAGAGAGACACACACAAAGAGAGAGAGAGAGAGAGAGAGAGAGAGAGAGAGAGAGACCCTTATACACCTAGTCGTCGTTGTCCTCCTCCTCCTCGCATTTTTTCTTTTGTCATCCTCCGCGTCCACCTCTTCTTCGTCGTCATCCTCCCCCTCTTCTCCTTCGTCCTCCTCCTTATCTTTTTCTTCTTCCCTCTTCTACCTCCTCCTTTTCCTCGTCCATCTCCTCGTTCACCTCGTCCTCCTCCCCCTCCTTTTCCTCCCCTTTCTCGTCCTCCTTTTCTTCCTGCTCCTCCTCCTTCGTCGTGTCGGCCTTCGCCGCCGCATACCCCTCCATTGCTGACGACGCTGAGTCTGGCTCCATTGTTGCGGCCACCTGCATTGTCCCAGCCACCTCCTCCTTCATCGCTGTCTCCATGGACACCACCGCCTTCTGCTTCTCTCCTCATCCTGCTCCTCTTCTCCATTTCCTATTCATGTTCCTCCTTGCCCGACTACCTTTTTTTTTTTTTTTTTTTTTTTTTTTTTTTAATCCGTTACCCAATCAATCAATCGAGAGATCGATCAATCCAACCAATCAATCAATCCAGCGATCAAGATCAAGAATCTTGATCGCTGGATTGATTGATTGATTAATTGATTGGTTGGATTGATCGATCTCTCGATTAATTGATTGATTGATTGATTGATTGATTGATTGATTGATTGATTGATTGATTGATTGATGGTTGGGGAGAAAGATGGGGGGAAAGCGGAAAAGGCTGGGGGGAAAGAGGAAAAGGTTGGGGGGGAACTTAGGGCTCGTCGTGCTTCTCGTCCTCCTCGTCTACTTCTTCGTCTTCTTTTATTCCCGTCCTTTTTCTCCTCCTCCTTCCCCTCCTCAGAGCTCCTGTCTTTTTCCTCCTCGTCGCCCATCTTCCCCTTCCTAATCTCTTCCTTTGCATCCGCCTCCCCCTCCATCGTCGCAGCCTGCCCCTCCATCGTCGTGACTCGCAGCCTCCCCCTCCATCGTCGGGGCCTCCCCCTTCATCGACTTCGCCTTGTCCATCGCCGCCGCCTCCCCCTTCATCACCACATCTGCCTCTATGGACGCCACCGCCTTCCCCTTGTCTTCTTCGTCCTCGTCCTCCTTATCGGCCACCGCCTCCTCCTCTCCTCCTCCTGCTCCTCGTTTTCTGAGTTGTCCTCATCCCATTCCTATTCATGTTCCTCCTTGCCCGGCCACCTTTTTTTTTTTTTTTTTTTTTTTTTCAATCACTTACCCCATCAATCAATCAATCAATCAATCAATTGATTGATAGATGGATCCATCCAACCAATCAATCAATCAATCAACCCAGCGATCAAGATTCTTGATCTTGATCACTGGATTGATTGATTGATTGATTGGTTGGATCGATAGATTAATTGATTAATTGATTGATTGATTGATTGATTGATTGATTGATTGATTGATTGATTCGGCGAGATAGGGAGATGCGGGGTAAATATTGGGGGGCGAGAAAGGGGTTAAGGGGGTCGGCGAGATCGTAGGGGGGAAAGATGTGGGGAAAGGGTAAAAGGTTAGGGGGGACCTTGGGGCTCGTCGTGCTCCACCTTCTTCTCTTCTAACTCCTTTTCTTCTTCTTCCTCGTTGTGCTTCTCGTCCTCCTCGTCTACTTCTTCGTCTGCTCTTCTTCCTGTCTTTTTTCTTCTCCTCCTTCCCCTCCTCGGAGTTCTTGTCTTCTTCCTTCTCGTCGCCCTTCTACCCCTTCCCCGTCTCTGCCTTCGTGTCCGCCTCCCCCTTCATTGCCGCCGACTCCATTGTCGCGGCCTGCCCCTCCATCGCCGAGGCCTCCCCCTTCATTGCCTCTGCCTTGTCCATTGCCGCCGCCTCCCCCTTCATCGCCTTATCTACCTCCATGAACGCCACCGCCTTCCCCTTCTCTTCTTCGTCCTCCTCCTCGTTATCGGTCACCGCCTCCTCTTCTCCTCCTGTTCCTCGTTTTCGGAGTCGTCCTCATCCCTATTCATGTTTCTCCTTGCACGACCATTTTTTTTTTTTTTTTTCAATCACTTACCGAATCAATCAATCGATCAATCAATCGATCAATCGATCGATAGATCGATCAATCCAACCAACCAACCAATCAATCAATCAATCAATCAATCAATCAATCAATCAATCAATCAATCGATCGATCGATCAATCCAACCAATCAATCAATCCAACGATCAAGATTGATCGTTGGATTGATTGATTGATTGATTGGTTGGATTGATCGATCGATCGATCGATTGATTGATTGATTGATTGATTGATTGATTGATCAATTCGGGGAGATAGGGAGATGCGGGGTAATTTTTTTTTTTTGGGGGGGGGGAGAGGGGGTAAAGTGGTCGGCGAGATGGTTGGGGGGAAAGATAGGGCGGAAGGGAAAAGGTTGGAGGGGAACTTGGGGTTCGTCGTGCTCCACCTTCTAACTCCTTTTCTTCTTCCTCATCGCGCTCATCGTCCTCCTCGTCTACTTCTTCGTCTTCTCTTCTTCCCGTCCTTTTTCTCCTCGTCCTTCCCATCCTTTCTCATCTTCCTCCTCCGAGTTCTTCTCTTCTTTCTTCCCCTTCCCCATCTCTGCCTTCGCGTCCGCCTCCACCTCCATTGTCGTGTTCTCCCGCTTCATCGCCGCCGCCTCCCCCTCGATCGTCGCGGCCTCCCCCTTCATCGCCTCCGCCTTGTCCATCCCCGCTGATCCCCCTTTGTCACCACCTCTGCCTCTATGGATGGCACTGCCTTCGCCTTCTATTCTTCGTCCTCCTCCTCCAATAACCCCTCCGCCTCCTCTTCTCTCCTCTTGCTCGTTGTCTGTGTCGTCCTCATCCCATTCCTATTCACGTTCCTCCTTGCCCGGCCACCTTCTTTTTTTTCGGAAGGGGGGGAGGAAGGGGGAAATGGGGTCGGCCATTCCCTATTCATCTTCCTCCTTGCCAACCTTTTTTTTTCCCATCAGCTCCCCGATCGATCAATCAATCAATCAACCAATCAATCAATCAATCAATCGATTGATCTATCCATTGATTGATCGATTGATTGATTTATTGATTGATTGAATCCGGAGGTAGGGAGGAAGGGGCCTAAATATCGGGGGGGGAGGAGGGGGAAAGGGGGTCGGCGAGAAGGATGGGGGTGAAGATGGGGGAAAGGGGGAATGGTTCGGGCTGGGGCGAGAAGATTGGAGGGGCGAGGGGGTGGTGGGTGGGTGGGGGGGGAGGGGGCGAGGGAAGGGATCGGGCTTTGGTCAGGGAGGTTCTGGCGAGGGTGGGGGAGGGTGCCCCGAGGGTCGGACAAGGTAGGGGAGGGAGGGAAGATCGATAGTAAAGATCGGGTGGAAAGGGGGGAGGTAGGGAGGTAGGAGGACAAGAGATTGGGGGGGGGGGGGGGGGGGGGGACCCCCTTTGACGGTTTTTTTTTTTTTTCTAGTCGTATTCGGAAAAGGAAGGTCGGGGGCAGAGGTGAGTAGAAAGGAGGCAAGGTGGGGGGAGGGAGTAAACATGTGGGGAGGAAAGGGGGGTCGGCCATTAGATTGGAGCCCTTGGGCAACACCAACATTCGGCGTTTTTTTTTTTACAGTCAATCAATCAATCAATCAACCAGTCAATCAATCAATCAATCAATCAACCAATCAATCAATCAATCAATCAATTAATCAATCATTCAATCACCCCTTCGATCAATTAATCAGTCCAAACACCCACTCAGACAATTAGTCATTCAAGTGATCAAGATGATCACGTGAATTGATTGATTGATTGATTGATTGATTGATTGATTGGGAGGGGGAGGTAGGGGAGAGGTCATTGAGGCAGACGTTGGGTTCGTTCATGGAGGTGGAGGGCTAGCAAGCTGGACGAGGGGAGTGCATGGCAGAGGATTGAGAGGAGAACGGGTGACTCCACACAGCGGAATGGCCGGCGGGCCGGGAGAAGCAAGTGGGGGATGCGAGCATTGCAAGCGGAACGAACAGCGGGTGAGGGAAATGCAGGTCGTGATTTTTTTCTTTTTCTTTTACTTCTGTCAATCAATTAATCAACCAACGAAGTAATCAAGCACTCACACAACCAATCGATGGACCACCGACCAATCAATCAATCAATCAATCAATCAATCAATCAATCAATCAATCAATCAATCAATCCGTCAATCAGTCACCGACTGGTCGGTGTGTTGATTGTTTGCTTGATTGTTCGGTTAATCGAATGCATGGTTGATTGATTGATTTGTTTACTTGATTGATTGATTGACTGATTGACTGATTAGTGGGTGCATTGGTCGGTTGGTTGATTTCATTGATTGATTGATTATTTGCTTGATTCATTGATTGATTGATTGGTTGATTGGTTGATTGATTGATTGATTGATTGATTGATTGATCGATTGTTATTTGTTGCACAGGTGTCATCTTCTTTCTCGTTTGGCCACTGATTCTCCTTTAATCAGGCGGAGAGAGAGAGAGAGAGAGAGAGAGAGGACGCCTCCTTACCGCATCCAATTTCGAAAGTGCGCTGATAGTTTGTGAGGGGTGACAACGTTGCAACTCTTCACGTTGTTCACTTCTTCTTCTTCGTCGTCTTCTTCTTCTTTTTCTTCTTCTTCTTCTTCTTCTTCTTCTTCTTCTTCTTCTTCTTCTCCTCCTTTTTTTTCTTCTTCTTCAGTCGCTTATCCTCCTTTGTCACTTTCTTCTTCTCAGTCCCCGCTATGAATTTCTTCTACCTCTAGTTGTCTGCGAAGACTGTTTTTTTTGCTGTGATGTCGCAGCCAACACAGCGGGGTGGGAGGGGGAGGCACAGCTCCATCCCGGACGAGGATGACGAGTTCCGTGAGCAGCCAGAGGCTAGACAGTTAGACCTACAGAAGAAGCATGCGGTTTGGCGATATGTGCGTCAAGGGCAAGAGGTGGGGATCCGTGGGAAGGGTCAGTATAAGATGAAGTGCACGTTGTGCTCCGAGATCTTTCCCGGGGCGAGGACGGTGGCAGAGAAGCATTTCACCCGACCTCTAGCTCATTGCAGATTTCGTACAGGGGAGATCCTGTACAGGTTGATGAGGGATCGGGTGACCATTGTTGACCCGGTGGCGAGAAGGACGGCAGAGAGGTTCAGGGAGGAGCATGGGGAGGAGATGGAGAGGGAGGATCTAAGGAGGGCTTGCGAGGTTAGAGCGCCAGCAGGTGGATTGTTTGGTGTAGGTACTTCTGGTGGTGGACTGGATGACATTGGGGGCTCAGGCGATGAGGAGGCTGGCGGTCAGGTTTTGGAGGATGAGATCAATCGCTTGCATGAGGGCTTGAGGGGGGTTCAGACACAGCCTCTTCGAGGAGGGGATGGGGGGGGGGGACGGCACGAGGGAGGGTTGACGGTCAATGAGCCTGGTGTCGTTGTGCCCCATAACCGTGTATTGCTGCAGATGAAGCTAGACAACTGGGTTGTGGGTGGCTTGCAGCAGCAGTACGGGAGGTTGTGGGCAATGGCCCTGTTCAGGGCTGGGGTGCCTTTTTCTTTCGTGCGTCTAGAAACAACGGAGGAGCTGCACAAGTTTATTGTTTCACTGATGCGACCGACGTTGGGGCCAGAGCTTCGTTTGCCTGCATACAATGACTTGCGCACACGGCTTCTCGATCTTGTGTACCACGAGATGTCGGAAGTCGTGCTGCCTAAGAAGGCAAAGTGGAAGATCACAGGCTGTACGATGTTGACGGGCGGGGCGACAACGAGGAAGTATACCCCCATCGTGAACTTCATCGCGGCTGGAGAGGATGGTCCCGTCCTTATCCAGACATACGACATGTCTTATAGGGAGAAGACAGGAGTTGCGCTTGCATTGCTGTGGGAGGAGGTTCTAAGGGATATTGGGTTGGAGCATGTCAATGCTATGTGCACTGATAATGCTTACGCCAATCAGGTGGCTGAGCAGTGCTTGCAGGGTCATCCTGAGACCATCATATCACGCATCCCATGGGTCCCTTGTGCTGCACACTGCTTGTCGCTCTTGTTGCGGGACATCACGGAGCTGGGTTGGGTGTCCCTTGTCCTGACGAATGCACATACAATTGTGACGTTCTTTAGGACCCACCAAAAGCCGTTGAAGTATCATCGCAAGTTCAAGGACAAGAAGAAGGGGATGAAGGAGCTGATCAAACCATGTGACACACGGTTTGGGTCAGCCTACCAGATGGTGGATCGACTTTTGGATTAGGCACCGATCCTGGAGCTCGTGGTCAGCAGCACAAAATGGAAGGGCACTCGGTTTCATGGGAAGGCTGCAGAGGATGAGGTGGATGTTCGGCAACTGATCCTGTCGAGTGTATTCTGGGCAGAAATGGAGAGTGTGAAGGAAGTCGTGAAGGCGGCCTATAACCTCCTCCGCGACATGGACCACGACGGCTCGTCACCACCCGATCTTTGGGGGCTAGGGGACACTCTGAGACCACAGATGCATAAGGCAAAGCTCTCAGAGGAGGACCAGCAGGAGATTCTGGAGAGAGTTCACTTGCGTTGCGGCATGATGCGGCAGCCCGCGCATGCGCTTGCATACCTGGTCAACCCTCGACGGCGCGACATCACTCTCTTGTCTGACAGGGAGGGTCCCCTTGTCCAGAGTGCACTAGACCATATGGTGAGATACTGCGATGAGGGAGCACACTCAGAGGAGCATTACAAGATGTGGAATGGGCTATACTTATTCCACCACGATGACCTGTCAGAGAAACCCAGGCCGACTTGGTGGAATGATCGGGCAATGAGGGATGCGAAGTCGATACACTCAGCGTACTGGTGGTACCTCCATGGGACCCTCTTCCCGGCACTGAAGGCGGTTGCGATTAAGGTATTGGGTATGTGGTCCACCGCCTCTCCTTGCGAGAGGAACTGGGCCTCTCATGACTTCATTCACACGAAGAGGCGTAACAACCTCTCTAGTGAGAGTCTGCGGAAGCTCGTGTTCATCCATTGGAACATGCAGCTTCTGCGCGCATCAACGGGTCCTCGAAAGAGGTTTGTCGATGTGTGGGAGGATTTGAGGGATGAGCAGCCGCTTGAGGAGCAGGAGGGGATTGCTGACGAGGTCTACCCTGACAACATGACCATTGTGGAGGAGGTGGCAGCTGCCGAGCGCAGACGCCACAAGGATGGCAGAGATCGTGCTAGCAGCCACTTGCTGCGGGCAGAGCGGGAGTATGATGAGGTGGCAGTGTGGGAGGAGTTGCAAGATGATGTGTGGGCAGGGAAGGATTAAGGGGACGAGAGACAAAGCACGAAGGGGAAGGAGAGAGTTGGAGGGGACACTGTGACTCAGGGCCTTTGGGAGAGGTATGACACCCTCGACATGGATGACGACTTGGACGGCTACTACCTACATGGCACCAGACACACCTTCGCCACTGCCATGGACATAAGGGCAAGTCAGCGAGAGGAGGATGTACGTGAGACGAGCAGGGGAGGAGGGGAGAGAGAGAGAGAGGGAGGGGAGTCAGGGGACTCTGGATTTGCACCGACGAGATTTGATGGAGAGGCTGGTCCTAGTGCAGGTGCGAGCGGGGAAGACCCTCCCGTGTTTGGCATGCCACATTGCGAGTCGGGCCGGTCATCGCCACATCATCAGGGAGATTCTGCTCGTCAGCCTATGGAGGACACACTTGCGGGAGGGGAGTCGATGGAAGCATGCCAAGATGATAGATTGCATGAGGGCGTGGGCCCCTCCCCAACGACACATTTGACTGCAGTACCGTCCTCCGCACCACCATCCTCTGCAACACCTTCCCCCGCAGCACAATCGACAGCACCACCCTCGGCTGCAGCGCAGTCCACTGCAATGTCGTGCACCCCAGTGCTGTCCTCTGCTGTGCCCTCTTCACATGGCGTCGATGATGTTGCCTCGCACGGCGCAACGGCAGGTGCTGACACCTGTGTAGCGCAACAGGAGTCTACGGGGGCAGGAGGCACTTGTTTGCAGACGACAGTATGCGACCATGTCCCCATTTTGGACTCAGTTGTGAAGATTACGGTACCTATGGGGGAGACACCTGCAGTGAACGATCTTTGAACATCAGCAACAGGAGTACTAGAGAGAGAGAGACAGGTGGAGATGATGAGAGAGAGTCCTGCAGCTGCAACTCCCGCTGCAGACCCGCCATTGGACCTAGTCCGTAGTCGGTCCGGGGGAGGGTATAGAGACGGGCTTAGAGAGGGAGATGGTGGGAGGTGGCTCCGCAGCCTCCGCTGCCACAACTTCCCCCACTTTGCGGCCTTGCAGCTTCTATGCTGCGCCACCTATGCCAGCCTTGCATGGGCGAGGCATTATGAGAGGACCAGGCATCTCCATCCCTCCTGTGCCTCCACGACAAGTCCCTCCTCTTGTGGAGAAGGTGCTTCCCCCTCTCGCACGCCCTGCGGGACCTGCGCCCCTTGGTACCAGCCGTCAAGCAGTGCCTGCTATTGGTACGGGTGCATTTTGTCCACCTCATTCGGGACCAGTGACGTCAGCCGGTGTTCCTCCACTTCCTGCCCGAGTGTCTTCCGCGATTGTCGACAACACGGCGACCAGGGGTGCAAAGAAGAGGAAGACACCTGATGCTCGTGGGGGACGTGAAGTTGCACATGTGAGAGGGAGCACAGGCAGACCACGCGGGCGTCCTCCGGGGAGCCGTGGCAGGGGTAGAGGTAGACGGGATGTGGCAGAGGCTGTGGGGAGGTTGTTGGGCGAGGTGGGCGTCGTCGGAGGCGGTGCACCGACACCCATCTCGGTAGATGGAGTCAGGACTCGTTCCTAGGCAAGGCAGAAGAAGAGGCCTCAAGTTCATGATCCGCGAGTTTTGGACGATGATGACGAAAGCGACGAGGCATCCATCAGCGAGTACGAGGCCCCGGAACACTGTTCTGATGATGATGAAGACGACGACGATGACGGGCCTGAGGAGCGTGGAGTCGGGGACGATGATGATGTGAGAGGGAGAGAGAGAGAAAGAGAGAGAGAGAGAGAGAGAGAGAGAGAGAGAGAGAGAGAGAGAGAGGTACTCCATGGGCGGTTCTACTTGCTTGACATTTCACTGACTTCACGGTGAATGTGGCATGCATTGATGAAATTGTATGACCTTCTTCAGCTCGTTTGCAATGGATAGCTTGTTTTTTTTTTTGTGTATGTGTGTGCGTGTGTGTGTGACACTTTGTGTGTGTCAGTCAGTCAGTCAGTCCATATACTCAATTGATCAGTCAATCATTCAATCAATCACTTTGTGTCAGCCAGTCAGTCAGTGTGGCAGGCATGCAGGCAGACAACCAGTCTGTCTGTGTCAGTTAGTCAATTTACGATTCAATGTGTAAGTCACACAGTCATTGAATCTACCATTCAATCTGTGAGAGCATGAGTAAGTCAGTGAGTGAGTGAGTGAGTGATTGAGTGAGTAAGTCTGTCGGTCAATCAGGCAATCAGGCAGCCACGCAGTCGGTCCGTTAGTCAATCTATAATTCAATCATTCAATCAATCAGACAATCAATGAATCAAGGAATCAATGAACCAAACAATCAATCGACCAGTGACATCAAACTTGATCAAAGTTGATGATCAAACAATCAATCTATCATACCTTAATCAATCAAACAATAAAAGTTGATGATCAAACAATCAATCTATCATACCTTAATCAAT